CGAGTGGCTGGATTATGTAAGTAACAGCCCTCCATGTGCTCACCACCATCTGTTAATATCTTGATATTGGAAAGTTCGGTGCCTGAGGCAAAGCCAGGGCTGGCGGCCCAGAGCTCCCAGCCTCCTCTCGCGGGCAGGGAACGCACCTTCCTTTGATTGCTGCTGCCCACTTCCCTGAAATCGAGTCGTAGTTTGCCCCCCTCAGACTCCGACCACCGCCCCCCTCGCCCCGCGGGAGGGCTGTGTTTGTGGGGGAGGAGTGATCTGCTTCGAGGTAACTTTATAGCAATGAATCCTTTCAATGAATTGATACTTTTATGACAAAATGACGGGTCCTTTTAAGCTCTTTGTGGTGGACTATTATTGGGGTGGGGGGCTATATTGTTTTTAAAAATTACTTTTTTTCTGCCAGCACCCGGACCCAACATTCTAGTCAGGGTTGTATATTTCACCTTCTTCGGAGTGATCCGCCTGTTTACTTTGAGAGCTGTTGGTTAAACAAACACCATTCGGGAGGCTTCGAAGCAGTGGGGTTCCCAGGAGGGAAACGCGCAGCTGCTATTGCTGCTGATCTTGTGGCATTTCACTTTCCCCCCCATTCAGACACTCAGAACAAATTCAGGTTGGGCTTGGGGTCACACTGGAAGCGGGCGGGGCGAGAAGAGGGAGGTCAGTCGGTCTGCATCTAGACGGCTTGGAGCAGGCCTGCCCGGAGTTGGTTTTTCTTTCTTTCTCTTCCCCTCTTCGGGGTGGTGGACGGTGGTGTGTGTGTGTGTAAGTCCGGGCAGGATCTCCAGCATCTTCGCCTGAAACCCACGCCCACGATCCGTTTCTCAACTGGACCTGGTGGAAATTGCCAGAATTGGTTTGTGTAGGATCTGATGACAGTTGTTTGCAAGGTTTTAAATTACTTTAAATGCAGTCTTCTCTGGGACCCCCCCCCCCACCTACGGCTTTAAGAAAGAACAGGGGGAGGGGGGAAGGAATAACACGGAGGAAATATCAAGGCGAAGTGTGTTTAACCCAGAACCAGATGCACAAGTGATTACTGCGAGTTTGAGTGAGAACCCACAGATCACCCTTCCGATACACGAGTACACGCAGCCTGCAGGGATGGGGTTGGTTGGAAGACTGGTCCGAATTCGGGGTAACTTTTAAGTGACTGGGGTTGTGTTGGCAGCAGGGTGGGGGAAGGGACTGACCCCTAGGTTTGGCCGCTGGTTTCTTCGCAGATGGAACCCAATCTCTAGGCGACTGGTCGTCTCCGGGCTGACGGATCGCTTCTCCCCTCTCAGAAAGCAAACCGGGAGTCGCAGCAGACAGGGGCCTCCGGCCTCACGCCTCGCTCCAGGGCAGCGCGAGACCTGGGAGAGCGCCGCAGCTCCGGCGGGAGAGGTTGGCCAGGAACCTGGCTGTTA